AAAAAAAACAAATTGTGATTCATCAAATAAAACTTACCGTAACGGCGATTGCATCGATACACTCCACCAGTGGATCCCTGAGCAAGGGCTTTTTCTCCCTGAATTTATCGAAAATCACTGGTACACTGCTGGAGCATGTGGAGCAAACCGGAAATTCATCTTGGTTGAAAATAGATATAGCAGTTGGGGCACGGAAACCTTTTTGCGAAGACCGTCAGCAACGCATTTCATGCACGTAGTGGCAAGGGCGGCGACATTGATATTGGCATCTTTTTCGATTATCTGAACCAAAGCAAAGTATTACATACAAGCAAATAATGGCAAGATGAGCGCATACCCTTTTCAAAAGCGAGATGTGTTCCCCGTACGATGCCTTAGGATGCAGTCTGGGATTGGCAGTGAGATGATCCAAGAATGCCTGAGAACACAGTTTTGAAACTCAATCGCAAAGATAGAGAGTTCATCATACCATTAGCGCATCCCTTCTCTCCGTCCCCTTCTTGCTCTCGATATTAGTGCTAGAATCGGCTGGAAGCCTTGCTATGACGTCAACAGAGTCCAACAGGTCCCAAGGATCAGCCTCCTTAGAAAAAAATCACAATACCAAGAAACAGATATGAAGAAAGCCAAGAAAATGAATGTAAGGCTAAAATGAGTATCGAGATTACCTTGGCAGGGGCCGGATGGAACAGTAGTCACCTGAAGGGATCCCGCAAAGTCGGAAGGATGCTATAGCCGGTCACTTCGCACTGCAGAAAACTGCAGAACAGATCATTTGTTTTCACAGACGCTGGTGCGTAGGTATGCATTGTCTTCTGTTAAGTATGACACTCCAGGGATTCGCGACAATTCGTCTTTTTTGCGAAGTATCTTCGCCTCGGCATTGTCCACCAAAGCAGCAGCCTCTGGAAGAGTAATATGACTTAAAAGCATTAACTTACTGCATCCAAGACTAGCATTTCCTACCCTGTCGAGAACAGCCTCCACTTCTGCTGTCCACATTGCTCGGCAGGGACAAACGTGTTGAGATGAGCTTACAGGCAATGTCAATAGCCTACTCCCTTTTCTGCA